AGACCGTCCTTGTAATGACTCTGGCGGTGGGGAGAGGGGAACCCGCCCATTCCGTCATTTTGGTGTGCTGGAGTCCTGTAGCTGGGCTGTTGCAGTTGTGATGCCCCAAATGCTCTCTGGCTGGCAGGGGTCCTTGCTTTTAGTGAAAACGTGAAATAAAACGAAAGCACAAGTTTACAAGTAAAAGCTTTCATTGGCAAGAAAGAGAAAACGGTGAGGGACTTCAGTTTGAGGCCCTGGGGAAGGTCAATTTGGCTGGCAACAGAGGAGAGAGACAGGAGAGGACCCAGCTGGGGCGGCTGGAGGGTACTGCCAGAGGAAGGCGTCTGACTGGACCCAGAAGCCAGTTTTTATCCAGCTGTGACATGAGCCAGGTAGATGTTGTAGACCCCAAGGAAAATCCCCAGAAGGAAACAAACAGCATGATGGTACATACCTGCAATCCTAGCACTCTGGGAGGCCGAGGCAGGAGAATCCAATATTCAAGTCCAGCCTGGGCGATTTAGTGACCTACTGAGACCCTGTCTCAAAGAGTGAAAGGGGCTGGGAACATAGCTCAGTGACGGAGACTCTAGTTGCCAACCCCAGTGCCCAAAACACAAACACAAATGGGTTTTTCCTCCTTGCCCTTGAATCCGCTGTTTCCTTTGTGTGCTTGGGGTGTTCCCACAAACTCCAGTCCCCGGTTTATTTCAGGTGACAGCCACTGCCCTGAGCAGCTTCACTTGTCAGTTCCAGGAGCAGGAGTTCTTTGCCAGGCTTTCAGGGGAGGAAACTGAGACCCAGGACGTGCCCAGGCCCAGAGCAGACACGGAGGGAAGCTGAGACGCAAGACCCCAGCCCTTGGGTCATTTCCCCAGTCAAAGCATCCCAGCCTCTCCTCACTGTCTCTGCCAGGCCGGGCTGGGAGACCGTGGGCTCTTTCACTGGCAGAGCAGAAGGGAAGTGTGGCAGGAGGGCCCAGGGCAGAGTCCTTGGAACCAGTGTCCCATCCAAGACCCCATGCCACTCCCTGAGGAAGGTCCGGCTTCTGTCCCTGCCACCTAAGTCACATCCTCCTGGATACTCTGGCCACCAAGACCGGCTGCCTCTCACTCCTCCCAAGGCCAACTTCCGCACCCAGCCTGGACCGAGAGTGCACAGCCACCAATGCTGTGGTTCCGCCTGTGGGCTGGCCCCTGATCCACAGTGATCCCCAGAATGAGAGCCAGAACCCAGCCTCCCAGGGCCTGCTGTCCCTTCCCTTGTCTGCCCACTTGTGGCTGGACAGGTGGCTCAGGCCCCAGCCCTTCCCAAGGCCCATGGAGCCCCCAGGAGGCCACATCAAAGGGAGGGGCCAGAAACAGCCTCAGCTGACTGCCCCACAGGCCAGTGTGGCTGGGAAAGGGACTAGGGTGTCCCCGGCTGCCCTCTGCCACCCCACCAGCCTCTTCTGTCCCAGGCTCCAGGTCTCAGAGTTCCCCTGCCACCAAAGTTGGGCCTGGTGGGCAGCACCTGGTCCTCCAGCCCTGACAGGGGCCAGACAGTGGCAGGAAGAGGTCTTGCCCTTGCCTGAGTCCTGGCTGTCTCCCCTCTGAAGGGACAGAGACCCGAGTACAGAACTCAGCTCAGTGGGTGTTCAAGAGCTGGAAAATGAGCCAGGCGTGGTGGTGCCTGCCTGTAATCCCAGCACTCTGGAGGCTGAGGCAGGAAGATTATTGAGTTCAAGGCCACTCTGAGCTACATAGATCTCAAAACACAAGAAAGAGCTGAAAAAAAAAGAGCTGAAAAACAGGTGAATGTCTGCTCCACCCCCCATTCTCCACCTGAGGGCCTCCCTGTAGCCAGCCTGCCTCCCACTCACCCCAGGAGGCCCTGGCGGTCACACTCCAGCCAGTAATGGGCCCAAGCCCTCTGCTGCCGCTGCCTCCTCCACACGCAGGCCCCTGCAGCCACAGAGCATCACAGTTTGGAGTCTTTGTTTGTACATCAGTTTCCTGAAAGTTTGGTTAATATGAGTCTTTCCCCAGGTCTTGATCGGCTATCTTTTCAAAGTGGGGATGTAGCTTCACGGCAGGGCACTTGCCGAGCATGCACAAGGCCCTACATCCAATCCGCAGCGGCGGCAAATCATGATACTGTAGCGATAAATAAGGAGTTTCTGAGCAAATCCTGACTGGCAGGAGATTCTGGAGGGTGTGGAGAGCAGAGTTTTCTAGTTATATGATAATTTACCACTGTTTGCTGCATGCCTGGTGCCGGTACTCTGAGGGAATATTTTTATTGTTTTGTTTTTTGAGACCAGGTCTAACTGTGGCTGACTAGAGAAGGGGGACAGTGACCACCCACTGGGTGGAGCCTGTGTACCCCGGGGGTGGGGGCGGAGCCTCAGTCAAGGACTGACAGCCTCAATTGCTACTGAGAAAAACCAAGCAGCTGAGGGCAAGGGCTGGGCTGGTGTGGTCAGAGCAGCGAGAGACCTGTAATAGCATGGAGGGCTATTTTAGCTAACTTGTTTGTGTGTTGAATTTTCTCTTCTTTCTTTTCTTTTCTTTTTTTCTTTTTTTTTTTGGTACTGGGGATCAAACTCACGACCTTGTGTTTGCCAGGCAGGCAGCAGCACCATTGAGCTACATCCCTGGCCCTCTTTCCTTTTTTATGAGACAGGGTCTTGCTTTGTAGTCCCAGCTGGCCTAGAATTTATGGCAATCCTCCTGCTTCAGCCTCCCAAGTGTTGGGATTATAAGTGTGTGCATGTTTAATTTTTTGGTAGCACTAGGGGTTGAACCCAAGGCCTCCCACATGCTAGGCAATCCCTCTACCACTGAGTTGTACCTGTTCCTTTATTTTTCTTCTCGACCATTAGTATTTTGCTTTTTTTTTCCCCCCTGCAGCTAAAAGGTGTTGCTAGGTAACAGAAATTGGGTTTGGGGTTTTGTTTTAATGAGTCCTCATGATCTGGTCTGGGAAGAGCTCTGATCCTTGGGTCTCTAGGGATGCTTGCCCAGATTCAGCATGTGTGACTCTAGCACTGGGCTTTGTCCTGTCCCCGGCCTGTATCCTCTGCCACAGGGCAGCATCCCCAAGATGATAAGACAAATGTGTTTGCAAGAGTTGAAGACATAAAAGAAATAACTGGGGTATTTTGGTTTATTGGAGACAGAGTCTCACTATGTAGCTCAGGCTGTCTCTGAACTCACTATGCAGCCCAGGCTGGCCTCCAACTCACAGAGATCCTCCTACCTCAGGCTCCCAAGTGTTGGGACTACAGGCGTGTGTCACCATGCCCAGCAAAAAATTGGATTCCAAGAAAGGATTAAGCAGGATACAAAATCAACATTAAATCAATAGCTTTTCTATACAGCAGTAATAAACTTGCTGACAAGGAAATCAAGAAAATAATTCCATTAACAATGGAGTAAAAAAAAAGCAAAAAACCCTAGGGGCCCACCCAACCAAGGCAGTGAAGATCACAGATCACTGAAGAAAGAGAATGAAGAAGACACCAGGAGAGGGAAGGGCACCCATGTTCGTGGGTCAGCGGAATTAATATTTCACTTTCAATTTTTGATGGTACCGGGAATTGAACCCAGGACCTTTACACTGAGCTACATCCCCAGCCCTTGTCTTTTATTTTGAGACAGGGTCTCACTATGTTGCTAACATGCCCAGGCTTGAATATTTGATCCTCCTGCCTCAGCCTACCAGAGTGCTGGGATTTCAGTTGTGTGCCACCATGCCTGGCAGAATTAAAAGGATTAAAATAGCTGTATTACAAAAGGTACATACGGGACTGCCATATGACCTGGCTACCCTGTAACTAAAGGAGTTCACCTTGGCATGCCGTAGGGCCACCTGCACACCAGGAGAACTGGCCTCAGAGCCCATCCACGGATGGGTGGATTCTGTACACCATGGAGCATTATATAGTGGTGAAGAGGAATGAATTGTTATTATAGGAAAATAGAACTGATGTTAGGTCGTGTTGAGTGAAATAAGGACACTAAGAGAAGTATGACAGGTTTTTCCTAAAGTGTGGGACCTAGGAAAGATGGCACAAAAGCAGGAGGGAGGTTATTATGAGAAGAGGAAGGGAGTAAGGAGAGGGGAAGGGGGCGGAAGGGAGGAAGTGGGGGTGGAAAACACCGCTCACTATGTCATTAAGAGAGCGTGATATCGCACACGCTTAGCATTCAGTCAGGTGAAGCAGCAGGTTACAAAACAGTGTGCAGGGCGTTGCCGATATTTTGTTTTCAAAGACACATCCTCGGGGCCCAGTCTGAGCCCTTCCGCCAACAGCCGCTCTGCCCATGCTCATCCTCTGCTTCTCCCACTTGCCGTGAGGCCCACTGATCTTCCGCAGTGTCTCATGCTAAATCCCTCACCATTTTCTCTTCCTCGTTAAAGCTTTTTTCTGTTTGTAGGCCAGGCGTGATAGCGCACGCCTGTCATCCCAGCACTCGGGAGGCTGAGGCAGGAGGACCACCACGAGTGTGAGGACAGCCTGGGCTACGTAGCAAGACCCTGTCTTTTTTTAAAAAAGAGTAGTTTTCTTACTTGGACCATAATAAAATGTTTCTAAGTAGATGAAACTAAGGATAGCCGTATGTGAGGAGATGGATGTGATAATAGCTTGACTTGTAGCATTTGGTTTGCGACACTTGTGTATTGGAAAATGTGTTACACAGTGCATATATATGATTTTACGTGTCAAAAAAAAGAAAGATGGGCGATGCGCGGCATGGAGCAGTGAGGAGCGGGCAGCGGCGCGATGGAGTGAGCCAGGGACCACCTACACCTGAGGAGACCAGGGAGCAGCCTCTGAGGAGGGGGAGGGGAGGAGGAGGGGA